AATGGATCATGAGAGCAGTCCAGAGAGCTGTTTTGTTTTTTTTTTACCTTCTGCTCTTTGGGCTGAACTACAGCTGTAAATTTCTTTAAAAAGGAAAAAGAGAGGCAATGTTTCTTATAAACTATTCAATGTATTTTATAAGTGCAATAATTCCCACAAAATCAGTTACTGGAGTTAATGACCAGTTTGTTAAGGTATTAACTACCCTCAGCTGGGAGTGACCAATTTGGGGGGGAATGGCTACACAAATGCTAAGATATTCAGTAACACTTTCAAATAATGATCCAGCTAATTAACAGTGAATTCCTGTGGAAATCCTATGGAACTACTTATAACCTGTGCATTTAATGGCCAGTGAGTTCATCATGATTCATGTTTATTACCATAAATACCAAAGGAATCATAATGACTAGGCCATTTTTCCTATCCTGCCCTTATTACTTGAACTTATTTGACTAACCCACCCCCAGTCATTAAGAACCTAGTTCTCAAAATATCCAGTCTTTTCATTGTTCTGTTCAAAATTCACAGAGCCTTTGGTGCCATGCCAGCATACCAATTGTTGGCAGCCTGTTTTTACTTGGGATGCCATTAGGGAATAATTAATGTCTATAAGTCTTAAAGGAGACCTTTTGAAATGCCTGCCAGTTTTAGGATATGGAGGAATCATAGCTGGTTAGCTATAGTTTATGGCTTCTAGTCATGAATTCTTACGAGAAAATCATACCCTCCAACCCTGTTTCTTGTAGGAATTCATGTAGGGTATGTAATTTTTTCTTGGGGTCTATTCTTTTTAAGGACTCAGATATCCTTCTAGTGAATGAAGAAGACTACTTATTAGCTTATAGTAAAGGATAATCTCTTAATTTTACTTGGACCATTCAGTCTCTCTAATGGCTGTTTATTGTTATATGATCTGTAGATCAACCTTTAAGTAATAATAATAAATGTTAGCTGCCAACCAGATTTTATTTTCTGTGCTTAGCTGGGTTTGAATAGATGAAATCAAGTTGTATTTCTAGACATCTTCCCACTCCACATACTCACTATGGTCTCAAAATCCTTTGTCATGTTGTTGTCACTGTCAGCTATCTACTAGATGCCATGAAGTTATAGGCCACATTTTTATTAAGAAATTAATCATTTATATAATCATTTATGATACAGTGAATAAGACACCTGTGATTTATGTACTATAATCTTCATTCATATATTGTACTTTCTTAGAGGTGAAAGGAAATAGTGTGATTTGTAACAGCAAGATAAAAATTAGAATCAGGAAGGTAACATCTGGGCAACAAGGGCATTTATAAAATATTACATTTTTTGGAATGAAAGGGCTAGTTTGAATGAACACTAGTTTGTACTTTTTTCATTCCCTAAGTAAATAATAAATGAGGAAATTAATTGTGCAGGTATCTGTAAATCAATTGTTTGAATTCTAAGAGAACATTTACCCAGACAGAATCCAGAAGACATCAGCAACTTGGCTTAGATAAATCTCTGAATATAATATTATGGTCCCTTAGATCTGTCATCACCTCTTTTCACACACTTTCCTCAAGGGAAAAAAATATGTCTGGTGCAGCTCTGGTTATATTCCTATTTCTTTGGTCCAGCTGTGTGTAGACTGAACACGAAGGGATACCTCTGCTGGTGGAAGCAGTGCAGCTAATTAGGAGTTTGGTCTTTAGTGTTCTCAGACTTCTCAGTCCTTTCATCACTTGGTAGCCCATCACCACCATGACCACTGCCCACTCTAAAAGTGAACACAAGTTCCATTCCAGATAGGAAAGCATGAAACCAGAAGGAGAAATTTATAATGTGTGTGTGGAAGCTGGTGGGGGAGGGAGGAGCTCATTTTTTTTCTCAGTTTTTAATAAAGAATTTATGAGAATGAGAGAATGATGAAGGATTCTTATTTAGATAAGGGTCACTTGAGCGGAGCATCTGATGTAAGATGACTTTCTAAGCCCATACTTTTGGGACAGCAAAGCTTTATAAGAAACTAACTAGATAGAAAAGTGGTCAAGTGTCTAGCTGATCTCAGGGAAATCTTGGCTGCTTCTCAAACCTACTTGACTTCTAACCGTAGTTTGAGGATAGAAGAATACATCACAGCATATATATTAGGAACTTATGGTAATACCATTCTATTGGTAAAACAAAATATTATTTGTGACCTCCTAATAACAATAAACTTACTGAATTGATTTAGTATTGTCAGACTGTGAGAGGTGCTTTACCAGGATTCTGTCACCTAATCCTTACATAACAACTTTTTGAGAGAAATAAAGTCATTATCTCATTTTTATAGAAAAAGAAACTGAAGTACAGAATCTGAAGGCCAGATAGCTAATGAGTGGCAGAACCACAAATTTAACCCAAGCCGGCTGCCCCTAAGGCAGTTTGCCCCTGCCAAGAACATCAGTCATCATTGGAACCTACTGTACCTAGACACAGATTCTCTGATTTCATGTCTCCATTTCATGTCCTTGGTTCTCCAATCTTCGCACTTTCTTTCCCAAAAGCCCCAGATCCTACAGACAGCATCTCTTCTAGGAGCATCTCCCTCCTGTACTGTACCCTAAGGAGTAATGATGCTAAGATATTTATCTGACTTTAGTTTGTTTTTTGCTGTTGTTTTATTTTTTGCAGTCATAGGGTGGAACTCTAGGGCCTCGTGCATGCTAAACAAGCACTCTGCCACTGAGCTATATCCCTACCTACCTGACATTATTGATTTCACTCTTTCTGCAGTCTCCTGGAAGGCTCATAGAAAGTATGTGCATGGGCTGTATAGTCAGTACGAGGCATGAATCCCAGATTCACAGTTGTGTTTCATTTTGAAAGAGTTAGAACCCTAGCCAGTGTCATTGCGTAATCTTGAAGTCAGAATACTCTCTACCTCTTCAGTTGTTGTCAAGGCTAAATTTAGAAAATGAATGCTGAACGTGGAATAGGAATAAAGTCATTGTTTAGCCCTTCCTCTCTCCCCTCCTCTCAAAGAACTTTGGTTAGAAAGTTTGGTTGTCTTATAACCTGATGTCCTTAAGAGTTTCTGCTTCTTTTCGTCCTTTGGTTTTCAGCAAATTTCTGGCTAAGCTGATCATTGTAGGAAAAGAGGACAAGAAATTTGGGGCATGTTGAGAGGGTTTTTGTTTTTTGTTTTTAAATCTATGTTTTTAATAGAGGATCACAGGTATAGGGAAAAATTGCAAGGAGCTTTTACCTTTGGCCATGAGGATGAAGAGAAAAAAGGAAGAAAGAGCATACAAGCAAGTGCAGAATTAGGGCTGGCTGCATAGGAATCACCACATTTTTTGCAAGTAGATACTTAGTTTTGCTACATATGAGAACTTTTTTACCCATTATTCACCAATTTATTATAATTTAGGAGTCTTTTATGCATTCTATCCTGGTTTGATACATATATGTATATATGTGTGTGTATTTATATATATATGCACACACTGTATAGCTTATCTTTTGCTATAAGCTAATAAATAGAGGGGGGAGAGACTGAGAAAACTGGTCTTCTTATCTTTAAAGGGAGCACATACCTCTTAATGGCAAACCTTTATTTCCTCTCACTTTATATGTGGGATGCACCACCTAAGGACATTGGTTTTTAAAATCTTTTTATTGACACCAGCAACAGACAGACTGTCCTAGAGCACAGATTTAAAAACTTCTTCCTATTCTATTTCATTCTTAGTTCCACATTGGATTTTAATGTTTGATGATTTACTTTGATAGTGAAGAATATTTTATATTGGTTATTGATTTTTCTTTGTTCCTTTTACTGTCAAGTAAATTGCATGGTTTCAAATCCTACTTTTCAGTAAATTTCATTATATAGAGAAAATATTTTCAGATAATATTTTGTGAAAATTAAGTAGCACTAGAGCTTACCCATTGATGAACAACAACAACAACAAAAAACTAGAAGAGCAGGAAGAAACTGGTATTCAGAATGTAAGAGTTTGCTTTAGTATCATATTTGAAAAGATTATATAATTGCTCAATTCCTGAGGAGAAAAAAAGAATACAATACTATGAAGTACGGTTTGACCAAAACCTAAGGTACTTGCCTCCTTGGGGAGTAAAGTTGGATTGTTTTCATTTTTCACCTTCACATCTTGGAAACCTGTGTAAATATATTTCCCTATGACAAGCGTACTTTGAGGTTTTAAAATAAGTATAAATAAATGCCTTCAACAGTGTAAATGTGATTTTTGAAAATCTAACATTGATATCTGTAAATCTTACAATTTAATTGCTTCGATCTCAACAAAAAAAATGTTGGGGGTAAAAATTACCTAGTTTGTCTCTAATGTTATTTGAGGAATTTCACAATTTTTGCATTACTTCTCTCTCTAAAATTCTCAACCTCAAATAATTAGTATAAATATTATATCTTCTATAGCCCTTGACTTATTAATATTCATCTTTAAGATTTTAAGTATGACTTTTTCTCATATATCCCAGCTTTATATCTAGGCAAACACTCTACCACTGAGCTACATCCCTAGCTCAGAACAATCCAACCTCAGAAATGCTGAGATATTCCTCAGCTTGTGCTTAGTGTAGCATTTTATAGTCATATATATTTTTGTGTTATAAATAGTTTCTACTTTCATCTTTTGAATATTTCCAGTTTTTGATTCATAGAAATCAGATGTACTTTTTGTTGACTATTTCGTATATATTCTCATTGTCAAGAGATTGTTTTAAAGAAGGATGAGGAGGTCAATGATGCACCCTGTTTTATATTGGGCTGCTGAAAATGGTACAATTTTAGGGTTGTGGGTATTTTTTCTCCACATGTATCCCAGCAAACATTAGTGTGCTCCAAGCTTTGGATTTGAACTGAGGAGCTCTGAATATTTTCCACCTTAAGGTATAAGGATTTTACTCAATAGTTTAATTGATTTGATTATGTATAGAGTGTTGTGTGTGTGTACTTCACTATATTCATTATATTATTTTATTCATAGGCAATGAAAACTACAAACAAATAGCAATTTGTGTGCTTTACCACATAAGCATGGATGATCGCTTTAAATCAATGTTTGCATACACTGACTGTATACCACAGGTAAGTGTTTTGACACTTAAAATATGTATTTTGTTTTGCTCTCTTCTCCTGATTTGTAAGATCTAATTTTCCTTTAAAATGTTATTATCAAAAATATTCATTTGTTGTAGAAAATTTAGAAAGTACAGAACTGAGGCTACATCCGCAGCTCAGTGGTAGAGCACTTGCCTGTCATGCGCAAGTTTCTGGGTTCAGTCCTCAGCACTTCATTAAAATAAAGTACAAGATTGTGTGAAAATGAGAATAACTTTCTGTTATCCCAAACCTAGAGATTATTATTTAAGATTTTGGTACACTTTCTTCTCTAGACTTAAAAAATAATAATATATTGGTATTATATGGCATATATAATTTTCATGTATTGTTTTATTAATAGATCAGGAGTATAGTTTCATTCAGTACTTTTCAAACATTATTTCTAATATGTATATGTATTCTGTTTCATGACCATTATTTAAATATTGTGAAATTATGTTTAGATCTTTTTCCAGTTTATTACATAAAAATACAAGCCAAAGCTTATGGACATCTATAAATTTTCTTTAAGAATACTTGTGCCTTTGATACATTTTGACCACATTATGTTCTAAGAAGTAGTAAGTTTATATATCCAAGTAGCATTTCACGTTTAACAATAGTGGTTATTGTTGTTTCTCTGACAATGTGGTATTTTTGTTTTATATTCCCATGAATATTGGTGACAAATATTTCCTAGCTGTCACTCACCTTTTAATTTTGTTTGTAGCTGATAGTTTTAAGTGCTTTGCATTTTGTTTTAATACCTTGGTTTTCAAGATGATTTCTTTCTCCCCTTCCTCTCTCCCTCTCCCTTCTTCTTTTATCTCCTCCTCCTCTTTTTTTTTTTTTTCCTGTACTAGGGTTTGAACCCAGGGCCTCACACCTACTAGGCAAGTGCTCTACCACTGAGCTACATCCCCAGCCATATTTTTTTTTTGGTACTGGGGACTGAACTCAGGACCTTGCACTTGTGAGGCAGGCATGATGCCACTGAGCTAAATCCCCAGCCCCCATCCATATTATTTGAAACAGCATCTTAACAAGTTTCCTAGGCAGGCCTTAAACTTGTAGTCCTCCTGCTTCAGCCTCCTGAGTAACTGACATTGTAGACATGTGCCACCATTTTGTCTCTTGCTTGATATATTTCACATGTTAGGTCTATTTGTTTTGAAGAAGCCTACTAACTTTTTTTTAATATAGGGTCTGTTTTAAGGTTAGAGATTCCATATGTATGCGATTGTACCCTTAGGAATATTTACATTTATGGAATTATTGTTGTGCCATTAGTCATTAGTAAACCAGACTCCACTAATAGGAATATCTGATGATTGGAACACTGATTATTCTGCTTTTTAACATTATATTTTTTTTTATAATTTTCTAAAAGAGAAAAAACAAAATTGCAAAATATATACGATACAAAAAAGCAACACACTTTTAAAAAATACTTCAAAGGATATGACCAAGTCATACGTCCTAAAATAATTCCTCTTAGTATTCCTACTGGACAATTTCCTACAATCCTAATATGAAGAATATTAAATGTATGATAAAGTAATTGATCTATCTAATAATTTCTCTACATTAATTCAGATTGACACCCTGTATTCCAAATTAGTAGGACAGTATTAAAATTAAATTTCCTATTCCAGCATTTTAACACTTCACTTACATCGGGTTAAAAAACTGATGAACTCTCTTGGATAATTTCTTAGCCTCTCATATCAAGAGACAAATTAATTATGATTGTTTATAGGAAGTAGACATCCTTCAAAGAATATACAGCACACCTTATCCAACAAGGCAGGGCTTACACAGATAGCAAGTTTTGTACTATCGCCAATGCAAAGTGTAATCAAACTTTTTGTCAAACAAGTTTTCAATAAAAGAGTAGCCATGTCAAGAGGAGATTACAGGTGATTTACTCTAGTCTCACTCCATCTGTTCTAAAGGTTTCTGCCTTGCAGTTTCAAAGGGTGTTCCTTTTTCAATCTCATTTAGTGTCAAAACTTCATTGACTACAGGATATGAATTGGAAAGCAGCCAAAAAGGAAAAAAATTCTTGGACAGATTCACTGTTCTATCATATTTAGATTTTTTTAAAGAACAGTATTAAATAAAAGAGAAAAAATGCAAACCAAAAGGGGCAGAAAACTTTCTACATTGAGTTTTGAGTTTGTAGTACTCTTTTAGAATGTATAATGTCAAATATAAATTATAAAGCTTTATCATTAATGAATGAATAAAATAAGCCTGTTAGGCTACTTTTTAGACATTATTCTTATTGCCATTTAAAAGTTTGTGTGTACAGAATTTCCCCATACATTTTCAATAACAGTATTCCTCCATGTTTTCTTGCCAGCCCATTTTCAAACATCAGACATGTCAGCAGTGGGAGTTTTCAGAACATTTATGATCTGTGTTTCATGAACAAAATTTTCCAAAACTCATTCAGGCCTCAAGGTTTTTTTCTTTTATTTTTAACTTCAGCTCTTACTGGAATACAAAGTTATGTACCAAATTATATTGTAAATATCAGAAAGCTGTTTAGTATGAGGGAGTATTCTGGAAGAAAAAAGAATAATCTAGAATGTTTATACCTAAAGTTCCACCTAACCTATAACTTGTACTTCATAGTGTCCAGTTTTGACGTAATATTTAGGAAGATGTTGGCATGACTTTATTGCTACCTAGTGCCAGATTCATTGCAAAATAAGAGTGATGGAAAGTAAAACAGAAATTAGGTGAAATTTATTTTCCTTTCAGAGATGTTAGTAATTGCTAATGAGGCTTCACGCTTACTTGTAACAGCATCTGATTAACCTGCTTATTAAAGAAAGCCATATGGGTTGTTTGAGAGGTAATGTAATATTCTGTTCTCCTTGAATTAGATATATTAATAGTTGTTTAAGGGCCGGGGATTTAGCTCCATGGTGCTGCACCTACCTCGCAAGTGCAAGGTCCTGAGTTCAATCCCCAGTACCAGATAGATAGATAGATAGGTAGATAGATAGATAGATAGATAGATAGATAGATAGATAGACAGATAAAATACATACATTTTAAAAAATAGTTGTTTAGTAAAGATCTTCATTTATTGCACATAAATATTTCAAAGAGAAGTCTAAAATAACTTTGAAGGTAGGAAAGTAATGGCTCACTTGTAATGCATGTTCATTTAAATGATCAAAAAGAATGGAATATAGTTATTCTTTAATTACATCAGATAGTGTATGTGGGCTTTATAAACTAAATCACTATTCAAAATTAAGATATTCTTAGTAAAATGTCTTTCTTATCATTTTTAATCTATTCAAAGTCTAAATACTGTCTTTCTTATACAGAAGTAAGTTTTAAAAAAACATTTAACATCAAGAATAGGTGACAATACATGAAACAGATCTTGCAATATTTCCCTAAATTATACTGCTTTGCTTTCTTTGTACTTTATTGTCTCTAATTATCCAGTGTACTCTAATTTTCTTCTCCCATTTGTCACTATCCTGCAAAATTTGGGGGCCATGTCAAGTCTTGCTTTATACATGGTCTTAATGGTCTCAGTGGGTAGATTGGTTCAGGTAGTCATACTTGGGATAACCAGGAGTTAATGGTTGTATTCTAATAATAGTTAAAAGTACACATTAACAGTTCATTGTTATTTAGACCTCTGTATGTTTTGTTTAAATAGGTGCGAATGCCATCCAGATGCTTATAAAAGTATTTATTGGTAATAGAACGGCCAATCAAAGTACATGGTTAGGTAGTGATGTCATGGTGTTATTTAATATTTTACCGTAGAACACTGTGCAAGAGTCTTCATAGTGATCCACATGCTTTCCACCACAGTCGTCCTATTTGGGCCCTCTTTGATCTATATCTTTTTTTTTTCATTTTTTTTTTTTTTTTGCTGAATGCTGGTAAACGTCCTTTCTGACAGCCCCCTTTGCTCTTGCCTGCCATTATCTGCTGAAGTTCAGAAACCAGAGCATCACTTCAAACAAGAGAGTTAGGGAGTAGGCAGTTAGAAGAGATTCCGGAGGCATGCGAAGTTCTGGCATAATCATTCAAAGATGTTGGGCCAGTGCAGTGGGGGAGGAGGAGGTGTGCGTGAATGCAGAGAGCTGTAGGGGTTGGCCTCTGGTCACTGGTAAATAAGTGAAGGCAGGTGCCAGAGAGTCTAGACACAGTGATTTCAGTCCTGGGTCATTGGTATCTGATACCCAATATGGGACTTGGCTGATTGAACACTATTGCATCTTCATTGCCCAGGCTGAGGCCCTTTAAGTGTTTTCCTGTGAAATTAGTAAAAGATGACAACGGACGTAGTTAAAACAGAGCAAATCCAGTTTTAATATTTCCTAGTTGTCAGCAATTTCACTTACTTTTGAAGTACCATGGGTAGTAACCAAAAGCAATGTTTCACTGTTGCACTTGGAGTTTTTACAAACTTGTTTTTGAATTTGAATTCTTTAATTAAAATTGAAGTGTGTTTCTTTCTATGAAAAGCTAATTCCATATTATGATACATTCCATTCATATTTAGTCCTCACTTCTCAGAGTTTTGAAGATGAAGTTTGGGTAGGTTTTCAAACTGTGTAATAATATTTTAAAAAGTAGTTCCTGATTATTTCTACATGAGATTTAACATGGACAGTTTTTTTAAAAAATCAATTTTCAGGGTCAGTTGTCATGCTACAAAGGCTAACTTGATAAAATAATTTATGCTATCAATAAATATTTTGCCTTGTTAAACAATTGCTTTAATGTAACAGATTTTCATTATAAGGTTTTTCAGCATTAGTAAAAGTTCAGAAGAAATCTTTAATAGGTTTTGAATTATAGTATGCTTTTCTACTAATTACAGTAGAGGATTGTCATCTACATTTTTTTCTAATTTGTAACTCAGTTTTTATTGACAATTTGTTATTAGCTGATAAGTAAAATAAGATTTTCAAGATCTGTTAAATACATACAGTAAATTAGGGTTGTTTTATTTTTTCCATTCAATCTTTTACAGCATTATGAAGTATTAATATTTCTCTATCAAGAGATTCCTCACTGGCAACATTTGTGATTAAAGAATTGCCCTCTAGGAGAGGGCATGACTCATACCAAGCATTCAGCTGCTGCAGTATTTTATAATTTCCAGCATATATTTTATTACATTTTATTAGACTTACACTTAACAATTGTAATGATATTTATTTAATTTTGGTTTCCTGTTGTTCATTGCTATCACATAGACAGTGTGGTTGATTTTGTGTGTTGACCTTATATCTTTTTTCAAACTAAGTTATTTAGAGCTAGCATAGAAAGCAATCCAAACAAGACTTAAGAGAATAGGATCTAAAATAATATTTATTATTCACTTCATGTATGTAAGGCAATATGCCTGATTCATGAAGTCCTGTTGTTCTATAACGGTATTGCTCTGAGATAAAACATGGAAATTTTGAGGTTGTAAACCTTAGAAATAACTTCCATATGTTAGCAATTTGGATTTAGAGAAAAATATATTTACATACTATCTTTACATAATACGTACTCTGTTAATTTGTTGATTTTCCAATAATAGAAGACTGGCTTCTCTAAATTATTGCACTAAAACTGTTCATTTCTCTTTTATTATAGCAGTAGTCTTATCGTGATAAATCTAGATTAGTGCTACCTGGCATAGGTTGCCTACCTTTTCCTTCTTAGCTTTTTGTCTGCTGTGCCTCAGACCCTCCTTTCCTTTCCTTTATCATTAGAGTTCTTTTTCATTTTATACCCATGCCCAGCTTACTGGTTACACCTACAGCTTCAGTTAACAATCAGATATGATAATTCCTAACATAGCTCCAGTCCAGGCATCTCTTCTAAACTCAGGCCTCCATTTATAACTTCCAACTGAGCATTCTCCATAGGCAACTTAAACTCAATGTACCTGAAACTAAAAGCACCATCTTCCTTTTAAGGCTTTGTCTTAATTTTTTATAGGGAGCAGTACTAGGAATTGAATCCAGGGTCTTGCCTTAGCACTGAGCTGCACCCCAGCCTTCTGCTACTTCAATTTCCCTTTCTTGTTATGTGATAGTTTCACCATCCATATCAAAGGCCAGTGCAAGATCCTTGGCATCTTAAGTTTTCCTCTTCCTTATCCCCAACATCTAGTCAGTTATTAAATCCCAGTTAGATTCTATCTCCTAAACATATCTCTGATCAGTCCCTTTATGTCAATTGTCATTGCCCTACCTAGTATAGGCATCATTTCACCTGGACTTTTCCTGTAGCCTGCTAGATAGTTTCCCACATGTAATGGCTATGATTCAGTCTGGTTTTTACACTGGCCAAATCTTTTTGGGACAAAAATCTTACCCTAACACTTTCCTACTTAGAAGTATTAATAATTTCCAATTATCCTTAGGATGAAGCACCAAATCCTTAACATGTAGTATTTCAAGACCCTGTATTACCTGGCCTTCACCTTCTTATTTCTCAGCCGTTTCTCATTCTCTATCCATGCTCTTTTGGTTCTTCGGAACAGTTGTGTGTTTTCTGTACTGTGACCTTTGCATAAGCTGCTTTCCTTACTTGGAGTCCTTGGCTTGCAAGTAATTCCTTAGGTGCAGAGATATTATCTAATATTTTTCCTGTATTCTCCACTCTACTTGAAAGTTTATATTTAATGTAGAACATCTAGTAGTTCATTACCTACGCATTGAACAGCTTTTCACTTTTGTGTTGAAATAGAGATTACATTATTTTCAATATTCAATATAAGATAAAACATTTTGTGGTATATTTTTTCAGTAATATTTGTCCTGTGCTTTTTGCTAGCTAATGAAGATGCTCTTTGAATGTTCAGATGAACGAATTGACTTGGAACTCATTTCTCTCTGCATTAATCTTGCTGCTAACAAGAGGAATGTACAGCTGATCTGTGAAGGTTGGTACCTGTGAGCTTCCTAGGTAACCTCGTTAGGATATGGTAATTAGAATTTGATGGAAAATAGATAAGGAAGTCAGAATTATAGTAGATAACTAAATTCTATTTACCTAGGAATGATAAGTGAATATCTAAATCACTATAGTTATAAGTGGATATCTAAATCTCTATAGTTATAATTCTTTTGTTTTGTTTTGTTTTGTTTGGTACCAGGGATCAACTCGGGTCCTTGCACTTGCAAGGCAAGCGGCTGAACCACTGAGCTAAATCCCTGGCCCTATAGTTATAATTCTTATGTCATAAGTGGAGACACCCTTCAGTAACATTTTATAAACCAAAGTTATCATTGATTACATTTTGATTTTTAGAACAATTTCTAGATAAAATGAAGCTTTTATTTGTGAAGCAGCTACAAGGAAAAGTAATAAAATACAAGTGTAATAAGTTACTGTTTCTCTATCTTGGTAAAATGTAATACACATTATGATGTTTTAGAGAACATTCAATTGTTTTTTTTTAAAGTAGTAAGTGTTCATTTAAAAAAATTGCAAATGAGCAAATAAGAAAATACTAAATCTTTTAATCATCCGGAAATAAATGTCAAATTTTGGTGTAATGCTTCTGTATGTTTTTAATGAAATGTGATTTTTCTCTATACATATTATAAAAATCTTCTTTTAAAATTAATATCCGGAAGTGTTTCATCCAACAACAGAATGCACATTTTACTGAGCAGCACACAGAACTTTTTCCAAAATAGACCATATCTTAGGCCATAAAATGTGCTTAAATAAATGCAAAGGAACTGAAATAATCCCTGCATTCTATCAGATCTAGTGAAGGAAACTGCAAATTAGCAGCAAAAGAAACCACAAAAATTATGCAAGTAATGAAGATTAAATTATACATTATTGAATAATTAGTGGATCACAGTAGAAATCAAGGAAGAAAATAAAAAGTTCATAGAATCAAAAGGCAGTGGAAATACGTATAGCATACCACAACCTGTGGGACACGATGCTGACAGTTTCAAGAGGGAAGTTTATAACTCTGTGAATGCATATATTAAAAGAATAGAGATGTCCCAAATAAATAATCTCTGGATTTATCTCAAGTTCTTTGAAAAACAAGAATAATTTAAATCCAAAAGTAATAAAAGGAAAAAAATTACAAAGATTAGAATGGAAATTAATGAAACTGAGACTAAAAAACAATACAAAGGATCAATAAATCAGAGTTGGTTCTTTGAAAGGATAAACAAGATTGATAAATTCCTAGCAAAATGAAAAAGGCAGAATAACATCAGAGATTGCTGAAATCCAGGCAGCAGCTTATAAGAAACTACCAAAACATATTCCAGGTATAGAAGGACCTTTCCTCAAACTGATAAAAGCTGTTTGTGACAGATTCACTGCCATCATCTTACTAAATGGGGAAAACCTGAAAGGATTTCCTCTAAAATCAGGAACAAGACAAGCATGTCCACCATCACCACTCCCATTCAGTATAGTACCTAAAACTTTAACCAGAGCAGTCAGGCAGGAGAAAGAAAATGATTTGAGTAGGAAAGGAAGAACTCAAACTGTCCTTATTTGCAGATGACATGGTCCTTTACATACAAGACTCAAAAACCTCCATCAGAAGACTCTTAGAACTAAAGAATAAATGCAGCAAGGTATGAGGATTACAAAATCAATACATAAAAATCAGAAGTATTCCTGTACACCAACAATGAATCTACCAAGAAAGATATCCAGAAAATAATCCTATTAATGGTAACTTCAAAAAAAAAACCTAAGAAATAACCTGACCAAGAAAATGAAAGACCTCTATAATGAAAATTATTGTACTCTTTAAAAAGAAACTGAAGAGGACATTATGAAATGGAAAGACATCTGCTGTTCCTGGATAGGCAGAACCAGTAAACATCAAAATGACTGTATTTCCAAAAATGTATAGATTTATATGGAACCAGAAGAGACCCAAAATAGCAAAAGCAATATAAATAGACCCAAAATAGCAAAAGCGATCCTGAGCAACAAAAGCAAAGTAGGAAGTGTCACAATGCCAGATTTCAAGTTATCTTACAATTATCTTATCATGGTATTGGCACAAAAACAGACATGAAGAGTAATGGAACAGATTAGAGGATATAGAAATAACCCTAGACACATTCAACAATCTCTTCTTTGACAAAGGGACCAAAAACATTCATTAAAGAAAAGATAGTCTTTTTTTTTTTTTCATACCAACAAATGGTTCTAGGAAAGCTGGTCATCCACATGGAGAGGATGAATCTTTTTTTTTCATTTGTCAAATTCTTTTATTGGTACATTTTAGTTATACATCACAATTACATTTCTCATTGGGAATTGTACCTTTACATAATGCATCTTGGTTCTTATTTTTTCCCCATTCCTAGCCCTTCACCCCCTCCACCCTTCCCTATTTACACAAAGACTTTATTTCCATTTTTTCCATTTCTCAGCATTTTTCCTTTCCCTTCTTTCCTTTCCCCT